AAAGCCCCAGACTATTCCATTTTTTTTTCCAAATATAAGCATTAAAAGTTTAATTTATGAATTCAAGTCTTTCTTTTACGATTTACAAACTGTTCATGAAAATTTGGAAGTACAGAAGTGCAAAAAATGAAAGCACCTAATATCTACATAATTTTAACCTGAATAATTCACTCCCATTTTTCAATTACATAAAGAGGCGGTTTTCCATTTTTTTATAAAAAAAAAAAAATTAAAAGTCAGACTTGTTTTTTAACTGTTTTTAGGTGATATTGAGTTTGCTCAGAACTTTTTTTCCTGAGTTGAAATATCGCTCAGCACTCTGTCAGGCCAAATTGGTTTCCGTCATTGACCTTTTGTTTGGCTTCTCACATTTTTCGAATCGGCTGCGAAACCCCTGCGTCAAAAAGTGCCAACAACAACAGGCATTTATTTCCATTTCGCTTTTTCCCCAGCAAAATGGCAGCACGTAGAAATAACACACTCGTGCGTGCCGCCGCCGTGCTCCAAATTCTAGTTGCCCGCGGCAGAACCAGCCTGCCTAATACAGCACCCCATACATTTCACTGACTGCTCGCAATCATTACAAAAAGACGCGCATTTGTCATGAGGAGCAGCTTCTACTATACCCAGGTATACCACAAATTTAAAGAAAAAAGGACGAAAGGGAGAAAATTAATATTTTATTTTTTGTTTCACAAAAGAGAGAATAAAAAGGGTGATTTGCCGGGGAGTGACGCCGGTGTTATTTCACTTTCGCCTCGAAAATAAATGCAACGTAATGAAACCGGCCTCTTTAATTTGCATATTGCCGGCTGGTGATATTTCATGCAGAGGGTCCGCAAAAAGTTAATAAACGAATTGCTCGCGAGCGGCAGCATGTAACTAATGTCCCGCCATTAATTCGGCAGCACCCTCGAAAAATTGGGATTTGCATTTTAAATGCGCCGGCCACGGACAAGATTGTTGCGCGCCGGGATGAATATTTAACGCCGGTCGGGAGAGCGAGTCTTCTCTCGTGTTGGCCGACAAAACATGCTTAGTAATTAGATGCGACGGGCTGACTAGACCAAATTTTACAATATGCGAGAGGATTTAATTATAGAGATGCACGTTAAAAAATATCCATGTGTCCAGCTTTAGCCACATTGTTTTATATATTATAAGTTAATATTTGATAAAATTTATATTTTTTCTTTGGCAATCAATTAACGTAAATTTTAAAATTATTTGTACAGCAACCTCAAATCAATTTTTTTTTTGCTGTTACAATTTTTTTTATACGTTAGTTGACAGAAATAAAAAAAAATAATTTCCCAAATGAAATATCATTGATTATTGTTTAAATTGATGTACAATACCCCCTGCGATTCGCTGAGAACATTGCTATGCCCGAAACTTTTCTCTCCTCAGGCTGAAAGCTATTTTCCATTTTGCCACCCAGAGTGCCGAAAGTAATTTCCCCGCCACTGTCCCTTTTGCCAGCATCAAAAATTGATTGAGTTGTCAACTTTTTACTTACGACGAGTTCCCTTCCGTCGCGCACACAAGTGTTTTGAGCAGCAGCCGTTTTCGCCGAATGGCCAAAAAAAAGTATTTTATACAATCCGAATTTTCATTGCAACCGACAGGAAGAAGCATTTAATCTCCGGCAAAGGCGAGTTCTTTGATAAAAAGCAATCGAAAAAAGAAGGAAATTTCATCGAGAAGAGTGGTTGGGGCACCTTCAGAATGGTGATTAGGGCAATTCTTTTGAAGTTTCTCCATAATTCCCGTCGGAATGGTTTTGCTCAAAGGAAATTTCGCCCCCTCTTTATTGGAAAAATGTCATTATCCAAGCTCATTAAAAAGTTTGTGAATTTTATTGCCCTTTGCTGATGTATTGAATTAAAGGTCAGCGGTGAACCGATTTATTGGCATTGAGCATTTAAGCCATCAAAATTGGTGAGAATTGATCCTGTCGATCAAATTGGAATAAAGGGGACAAAATCCATGGAAAAAATTATGAAAATCAAATTAAAGCAAAATATGAAAATAAATTTCGCGTTTTTCGCGAAATCTTCTAATCCTTTCAATGCAAACACAGTTCTATCAATAAATTAGAAATTCATTTATTTATAAATTTCTTTTTCTCATTAAATCAATTAAAAAATCTACCCTGAATATGCAATTTTTTTATTAAAATCACCTAAATGAGCCTCTATTTTACCAATAGAATTTTCCTTTTTTTTTCCAAGCTTGCTCCCCATTATCTACAATCTTTTGAAGCAGGAAATGTTTTTTCTTCCATGCATTTGTGCCGGTTCCATATATTTGATCAATATTATTATGTTATCCTCTCTTTCAAACACAAAAGCACACGTCACACAAGAGCAAACTTTTTGGAACTCGCATTAGAATCGAATTTACTTTTCTTGAGCCCTGCTCGTATTTTGCTGCGCGATCTTCTTCAAAAGACACCACTCGCACAGATGAAAAAGAAATAAATCCTCGCTCTCTCGAGCAGCGTGCAGTCGAAGGGAAGAAAACTTTTGTCAAATCGGGGTAGCCCCGAACCTTAAGCTTGACACGCAAGAAGTTTTCTGTCGACCTTGGGCACTCATTAGTCAGGCCCGGCAGCCCCGTCCGAGTATTATCCCTGAGCCTTGCTTCCGCTCATCCATCTTAATATTTCATGCGGCGAGTGTCCCCTGCGGGCATTAATCAAGAATTGCCTCGCTGATATGACGCAAAGCCCCTGTTTGTGAAGACTGCAAATCACTTGAGTGTTTGCCCTAACAGAAATAGAGAATAAATATCTTTTAATTTCTTTTTCTACATAGACCGTTGACCAAAGTCTGATTTTAAGTTAAAGTTTGATCTCTTTCACTGATATTTTATTTTAATTTTTGTACTTGCGTGAAACTTGAATCAATAAGACTAATTCATCAATCTGTTTCTAAAATTTTCATTAACACTTGTTGTGATGCTAAGTGATATTTTAAAAAAAAAAGTTGTGAAAATATGTGTGTGAAATGCAACGGAAACTTGACAAATGTTAAAATATTAAATTAACTTCCACCTGCTCAAAAGAACAGCGATTTTCCTTTTATCCTCTTTTATCACCGCACTTTCCCTACCGACCAACTGAAAGATTAAACACGTGCGACCAAAACTTTTGGTCATGACCCGTCTTGAAGTCTTAAAAAGGGAGCGTTTAGAGTTTCAATTTTTAATGCATCCCTGGGGCCTGGAATCGCTCCTTCCAAGTCAATTATTGACAAGTTGTCATTCAGCCACTTAGCTTCTGCGAGAAACTTTGGACAGAATCCGACTTTACGGTGGGTAATAAATCACTGAAGTAAAAGTTTTCACGCATGCCGAATATATCACTGATTAGCTGGAACTTCAAAAATTCGATTATACATAAAAAATTATTAAAAAGAAATTAAAATTAATTGGAAATCTTTTTTATTGATATTAATAGACCGTGAAATTTGAATTATTCCATTAAATTAATTGAGGTGTAATAATTGAGTTTTATTGACACCGCAACTGCAACTAAATTTTCGTAAATGACGTTTCCTCTCATGTATTTACAATTTTTTTCTACATGTCACATATTTTCAAGCTTATATTAAAAATTTTTTGAAATAAATTTTGAACTGTGTAAATAACTGGCACACAGCGTAACTCCCATGCGCTTCATCCATCATTCAACTGAACTGTTCCCTCAACTGGTAATATCAAAGTTATGCAGCCCGCCCGTCGCCAGTGTTCACCAGGTTGCATAAGCTATTATTAGTTGTGGCCGAGCTGTGCGGCGAGAGAGGCCTTTGCAGTGTTTCTGTTATAAGCAGAGGCGTCCGTGCTGCAAAGGTCCTCTCTTTAATGCGACTACCTGGGTATATTGGAAAACATCATCAAATTCCTTCCGAATACTTTCTGCTTTTAGTCTGATTGCTTTCCTTCCATCAAAATGAATAAATTTTCCCTCCCTTAAGTCAGGCATTCTGTGTTAGTTTAAGCATTCATTTGAGAAGAATTTATTGGCAGATCCGTCTTTCCAGGAAATGTGTATTTGCTCAGGAGAGCGATATTTGTGTAAATTAGCTTGGCAAAAGGAAAGAGCAGCGTTATTAATTAGGTTATGAGGATTTCACATGATAAATCAACATAGCGCTATCTTAATTATAGCCATGCGATTCACTAGACCGAGAGGAAACGGAAAATGGGGAGTATAAGTTGTGATTAAATGCGAGTGTGTCTCTCCGCACGTTTGCAGCTCGCAACCTTTAATCTTCTGATTAGTTAAGTTTGCTTCACACTCTCAGTAGACGAATAAATTAACTTGTTCGCAACTCACAACACTTCTGATAGGAGTTAAGTCAACATAATTATTGCATTGGTGGAAATTGCAATTAAAGTTTATGATATAATCTTAAATTTTGATTCTCAAATTAGAGAAGGGAGACATTTATTTTCAAATTCAAGGATAAATTTTGCTTTTTTAATTATAATTTGCAGACCTATCAGAAAACGTTTGCTAATTTGTAGACCATGGCCAATACATTGAATTTCTAATGGAGAAAAATTTATATATTTATTTTTATATTAAAACCAACAATTTTTTATTAGTGGTAAAAAAAACATTTTAAACAAATATATATTATAAACTAAATTGAATTGTTTGTATTAACAAAAAAAATTTAAATCCAATTTTTTTTTATTTAAAAAAATAATCATTAATGAATTTATTGAGACTTTTAAATCATCAGTTTAAAAATAAAATTATACATAAAATTGTATTACAAAATACCTCAATTTAATTTTTTTTTTCATTCTTTAAACCCCTATTATGCAATAAATTTAATTTGATTGCTCTTTCCTTTTAAATAATATTTGTTTGCCAAGATTCTCAAAATTACCCGCGCGCTTTTCCATTTTCCGAGTGTTTCGCAGCGCCACCGACGAGAGGCGCCTTGGTACAATTTCTAACTCCACTTCTGGCCATTGTGTTGCAGTAGCTGCCGCCGAGTTCGCCGCCAGGCCCGAGGGTGGAGCGCTCAAAGTTGCCGCTGGTCTGGATAGAGCCCGCTATCGACACGACCCGTACGCGCGGCTCATTGACGCCAGGTACCCGGCCAAACTACAGCTTTAAATTAACCATGCCCTAGCTGCCCCTGTGTATAAACACTCCGTTTACAATCTGACCCGCACTACACACTCCCTGAAAAACACACAGACAGAGATTATCAACTCTAGGTTAGCACCGTGCGAATTAGCCACTTGCATCTCCCGGCCTAGGCCTAACTTTTGGGTCTTATCATAATAATCAACACTGCAGTGTCCCTTAAAATTTGTGTTTTATTAATTGTGGTACTGTTTTGTGTCGAAATTATGACTACGTGTATAATATTTTGGTACACACTGGATTAACCTAATCCCATTTGATCTCGTATAATTGGACCTCTGAAAATTTTAATTATTTACGCCCGGGGTCGTCCGGCAGCCTGGGATTAATTTAATTCCATAACATGCCACTCCGGTTTGCGTTGTAATTCCCAAATTTGAATTAAAAAAAATATATATATATAATATTTAAATATATATTTCCCACTGTCCACTAGAGATAAGGAAAATAATATTCAAATTTCATTTGAAAATCACAAAATGGCCTCTCTTTTGCATTTTACGGTTTTATTATTAATGCCCCTTGAGCTCCACTTCCCGTGCTGCCCGTCAATCGCGCCGATTGGACAGTGAAAAACGACCCTCGACCCGAATATAAATGGAATGAACGACAGCCGCTGCCATTCTGCAGTCCTGCCCAACATAAAACGCAAGGCATAATTTTTATTTCTGCTCGGCCATCTCCCCCCGCCGTCAAAATCGGTGTTTATGCAGCCCCCCGAGCATGAAGTATGCATTTATACAAAACGTCCGTTTTTGCTCTTCAAATGGATAAAAAATTCATTTTAATGCAAATCACTTCTCACAATCTGAACCAAAATTCTGAGGGAAAAATCTTTTTTTTTTTACTGTAAACAAATTAATATAAAATCGGTTTCAATTTTTTCACATATTCCGCCACATCTTGATAATGTCTTAAAAACTTAATTTTCTCAAATAATTTTCATTTCATACTTCAAACGTTCAAATGTTTATTTCCTGTGCTTGATTCTTCTTCTTGTCTGAAAAATCATAATACAGCGTTAAAATTTGTTTCTAAGGAAATGAATTTTGCTGCCGTAGCTCAAACTAGCTAGCCTATATTTTCAGCAGTAACCCTTTTTGCGGAATTTTTCCACTGCATGTAAATTTTTGTAATAAAACTAAAAGTTTGGTGGCTGGTGAGCCGTGAAGGAAAAAAGGACCGCGATTTTTCCTCGTCGGGCACATGTAAATAATGGAAAATGGGCGGCGAGCTTTTTCGCTCACTCTCTCTAGGCCAAGATGTAAATAATAAATTTCCATCATCTGGCGCGCGTCTCACTCAGTCACCTCTGCAGCGTTGCCGCGGACGGTCTTCGCAGTCCCCACCTCCTAAATCACAAATTCAATAACTCGCAGCGCAAAAGGTGAGCGCGCCGTGTCAAAGATAAAATATAAGAGAAGGAAAATCGTCGTCGCGTCTCCTCTTCTCCTCCGAAAAGCTGCAGCCGTCGACGCGCAGTTAGAATTATTAGGTTGGCGGGGGAAAACTCAATCTTCGCGCGAGTGCCTCGGCTTTTTATGCCGCGCATCAATTTGATGACACGAATGGTTATTTTGCCCCGCACTTCAGAGGGAAAAATCAACAACTTTCATCGCAGACAGGTGGGAAAAAAATTGAAGAAAAGAGAAAGTGCCAAGAGGAGGAAAAGCTAATATCCAATATATTTTTGTTTTATTATCAAATAACGGCTGATTCACCTTTCATGAGAAATATCAGAAATATAAATTCATTAAAAACTCTCAGAAGTTTAGAAATAAATTGATAGTTGCATTAAAGAGAATCAAAAGAACCGTCAATAATTCTGCCTGAGGAACAGAATTAAATGTCCAGGAAAGTAAACCATTTGAGATATGTAAAAAATTGAAATACTACTTCATATTGAAAATTAGAATCTTGTATGTAATATTTTATATTTATAAATAATTTTTTTACATAAAGAAAATCTAAAATTTAATTAATCTACTCTAAGAAATTTGATATAGCATTTATTGTCAATCACCTCTAAATATTTACTTTTTGAGCACCCTTTTTCTTTGGTAATGTAAAATCTTTTTATTAATTGTATTATTCATGTTATTCATATTCGTACAAAATAAGTAGTCCTGAAATAGGTTTCCAACAAACCTTTGTGCAAATGAATTTTCTTTTACTGAAATTACACCACAGCTGAAATTTACAAATGGGTGCAATTTTTCCCCAGTTGGAAGAAAGTTGCGAGTGCCATCTTTTCCTTCCTCTTTTTGTGGCAACCGTTTTGCCTTTTATTATTACGAGCGTGCAATTCACTAAACGACGAATAATTCAGCAAGACGAGGCGCACGTGAATTAGCAGCGCTGCCACTCATAATAATAATAATTCTACCACCGAGGCTCTGGCGAATTGCAAATTTAATTTGCGACGCGCTCCTGTGACGCTTTCGCTCTCTCCGAATTATTGCGCCCTGCATTCCGATTCCACGCATTTTTCCTCATCTTTTTTGCCGCTGCTCACTTATTTACGGCCTCTTACACGTTTGTTTCCGGATTAGAGTGATTAATTCATGACTCTCGCCGCTCTCGCGAGGGTTAATATTGTTTGTTCTGGAGTGCGAGAAGTCGTGGGTAAGTAATAACCTGCAGCCAGCGGCGGAGATTGGAAAAAAGAGAGCAAGAGGGCAAAAACTCCTATCCGCACACCTTCCTTTTTTGTTTAGGCAAACAAGTTAATCTGCAAAAGTAATTTTTTATATTGCTTCCTGGCAAAAAATTCAGGATTTTTTTAGGGATTTAAAATGATTGATGAAAAAGTAAATAGAGGGGGACTTTTTACTTATAAAATTTAATCTGTTTCAATATCTGAAAATGAAAGCATCACTTAGTTTTAAAATTATCACAAAGTTTATTTATAAAAGTGTTGCAATTTGTAAGGAAGTTTTGATAGGCATGTTCATATTTTGCTGATAGAAAGTCTCAAATACATTATTAATTTCATAGTCATTGTACACATCAATTCAACAGCTTTCGAAATTTTAACAAAATAAATACGTCAACACCAGTCCTTTTACTTTCAATTGGTGTGAATACAGTCAAATTTTGCACACACAAAAATTAATTTAAAGAAGCTTTCGCAGTTAATTATCTTCTTTTTAAGCAAAAAGTATTTTCTCTCTTTACATTTCCTATCGTCCTGTTGCCTGCTTTTGACGCTTTTCCTCGTAGAAAATCTTAAAAATAAAAATATTTCTTTTTTGTCAGCAACCTGCTAATGCTTTTTTATTAAAAGATTATTACTATTTGGCGCAGGAATAGGACAGATTTATTAAGATTTTTTTATTTCATTTCAAAGCAGAAAATTATTGATGAATTTTCAATGCTGTTCTTAAGTCAGTTACACGGCACCTCTATAATGCAGTCTCTTTCTATCTCACTAACGTCTAATAATTGAGAGCAAAAGTGACCGAGGCGAGCTTTTATTAATTCGTCTGGGGGGAATATTAAATCGCGCCTGGGCGAAATACCGACGAACGACTCTCCTTCAAAGGAGCTGCGGGCAAGTTCTCAAGAATTCAACGGCCAGGCGAGTGTTAGGAAGTTTGCCTTTTTTATTACGCCACCCTACGACGAGTGAAAGAGCCTCTGCCGGAGCGCAATCAAAACTTTCACTTGCAGCCCCGTTTGAAATGGCACCTCGCAAAACACAAATTAAACACTCCACGCACCTATATCAGCGTTTAATGGGGCCAAAAGTGCTCGAGTTATTTGCGTCGGGAAAGTTACGTTCTAGAGCAAAAAACGTGCAAAATTAATCTACCGTCGTAAAGGAGGTCGATTCTGCAGGAGAGGCCATTTCCTGGTTCATAGTAGCTTCTTTCGAAGTAAAACATTTTTGATAAAAATCATTTATATTTTCAGCGGTCCGAAAGCATTATACATACTATTTTAACTTCAAAGAAATTTCAACATTGTTTATAAAAATTTATTGTGAAATCTAGTCATAATTAAATGGAAAAAGCACCCAAATTTGATCAAACTGATTTTTCATACCATATTTCTCCATAAACGGTAACTAATCTAGAGGAGTTCAACGACACTAAATGGGAATCTGATGTCATTAACAGCTCGGGCCGAGAGAAGCAAGCCGTGACTAACCGCAAAGCGCTCTCTCGATGTGCAACTCAAACACCCACACTAACTCTAACACACACACTCTCTCAAGAAACACACACAGTTCCTCGCCCAATCGAGTTCTAATCCACCGGTCGGACACTCGGCGCGCGGCACCAAATCTGGCCAAGGGTCCACTATTCCAGCCTCATTTGACTGCTTAATTAAGGCCCGGTCCGCATCAATTGAGGCTTTTTTAATGAGTCGGTGCGCGCCAGAAGTGTAATTGGCCAATTAACTGAAACGACAGCGGCCATTTTTCCTCGAAACTCCCCCTGGACCATTATGCCGGCTGGTTGCTCCCTGGCCGGTTTTTGTGCGGCCGCCGCCTTCCCTTGGAACGGTGCCAGACGAATTTGCACCAATTTCACGCGAATTAGCGGGTCAAAAAACAACGCGCTCGAAAACAATAAGTTCCAAATTTCGATCTCACTATACAAATTTGGACAAATCTCGCGGTATCTCCATTTTTATAAATATATACATCTCCTGGAGGTCCAAATTCCGAGGTAAGTGGAGTTGAGTTGCCTGCTTTATTTCTTTTCATTTCACATTCGAGCGTCGTTAATTTTTTGCCCCAAAGACACAATTTGAGAAACACCCAAACTAGAATGTAAGGTGCGGAAAACTTGAAAACATGTCAATTGTGTAAATAAACATGCCGAAAATATTAACCTACCGACTAACTCAGTGTACTAAACTTAAACATTACGTACTGTAATTTAACTCTGGGTGTTTATCTCTCTGACAAAAAAGAACCAGTAGGACGTAGTGTGCGCTACGCTGCTCTGTGTAGCCATTAAAGTTAAAACGGTAATCTAATTTGCCTGTCGCTGTCATAACTAGCGAGACGCTCTGGTGATGTTAAAATAATGAATGCACCTCTGCTTTGATGTGAACGTAGTGAGTAGGATAAAAAATTATTATTCAAATTCGACTCTCCTGATTTGCATCCAGCACCTTTTAAAAAACTCAATGTGCACGACTTTAAATATTATTAAAAACTCATCGGACAGAAAAATTGTTAAAAAAAATAATGTTCGTTTATTATGCATAAATAAATATCCACTCTATAAATGTCAGAATGTTGGCATTCATACGTATTTATCATCGGTATTATAAAATTTTTGCATATATAGTGAATACTTTATTGTTGTGCTCAATTCAAACAAAGCTGGCGAGATAAGTCGCTTTTAAACGTAAAAATCACACACTAATATGTGTCATTACTAACACCCTACATATCTAAATAGACGGAAAAAAACATACACTGGATTTAGACTACTCGATGTATTTGTAAATCTAGTGTTGTTTTGTATAAAAAAAGTTGAGAATCTGATCACGTACGTGTTTTAAAACATGCATTTGTTGCTGTAAAGCGAGCGAGACGCGCCCTCCTTTGCACGGAGGACGCGACTCGACGGCCATATTGATTTATTATTTTCTCATTAATTATTAACAATACGCCCATTTTTATATAAAAAAAGAATAATTCTTCCTAAAATGGCTTATTATGTAAAACTTGACTTTGTAAAGCGTTTTCTATTCAGTGTCAATGAATAAAAATTGATTGAGAATGAGAGAGCTAAGCATTCTTCTTCCAGCCAAACTTTTATGTTCTTGTTTGTTATGATTATTTTCCCTCTCTTAAATTGTTAAATAAGGCAAAAAAATTGTTCCTCTAAAGCTGTGCATGCTGGCGTTTTTTACGCTCACTAACTCAAAATAAAACAAAAAATCCCTTCCTCACTGAAAAAAAAACCACCTTAACACCTTTAAAAAAGTCCGTCGGTTGCGAAAGGCATGAGCGGCTGATTTATAATAAAATTGAATTTGACCCCCATTAACCGCTTTTTCAGGTGTTAAATCATCTCTTGTGTGGTTCTTTCTTCTTTGCAGAAAGGAGGATAAAGGCGGTCAGTTGAAAGGAACGGGTGACTCGCAAATTTTTATCTCCTAAGCAGGCCCCAGATTTTCGAGTTTCCAGCTAAATTATTATAATTTTTTTCCTCTGCAAGACAATCACACGCTTTTCTCCAATGATGGCGACGAAAAGAGCCTCTAGTCAAAAACACACACACGCGTTTCTTTCCGTTTATCACACTCTCCATCCATCTAATAAATGTACATACACTGCTAAATGTTATTTTTATGCAAATTTTTGGTGTAAATGAAAAAAAAACTATTGGAAATAAATTACTTTCTATTTCTATTAATAGTGTGTCTCATAATCTTTGAATTTGAACTAATTTTTATCAAAAAAATTGCACGATAGCTGCTGTACTCTGTTCCATTTGGACACACAGAAAATAAATACAGTGTGTATAAGAGGGTTTTAGATCGAACTATAAAGCTGCTGCCCGCTCATCTCTCATGCAAGTTTTGGTTTTCGCTCCAGTTTCCACGACGTGACAGAGATAGATTTCCCAGTTGCCGCCGCCGCTGCCGCAGCATTGTTCAAAAGTTGATCTCTCTTTTCTGCTGGACAGCATTTCTGGGACAGAGATTGAAATAATTTTTGATAAAGTTAACCTTGGCCAAGACACAAAAATCCAATATTTATATAATAAAGAGAGGACAAAACGCCCTACACACGAAATAAATGCACTACTTTGCTACACAAGATGTTATTGTAAAATACATGTTCCTTTAATCTTTGTGTAAAATAAATTGAAAAATTTAAATCGCCTATTAAGCTTGTGTGCTATGTATAATGTAGATGGAGAACAAGGTGTAAACATTTTAAATTATAAACGTCGAAATATTTGCTGGTCCACCAATCAATGCTCTAAATGTAAATTTCCGTGTCTAATACAGCCAAATGATATACAAATAAAGTGTTTTACTTTAAACGAATGGTGTAGACAATAATTATTTCTAATTTACTTCATTTTAAATTAATTAAAGTATTTTAAAATTATTCTTATCTTTGCATTTAAAGGGATAGCATGGATAATTTAAAGCAAACCAACAAGAGATCTTTGGAGGAAAATTTATTTAGTAAAGCTTTTCCAGTATAAGCAACCTCTCAAGTAATGATAATTATCATTGAATTCAAAAGAACACAACATTTTTTATCGGGCTTTGAAATTTTAATCAAAGTATTTGCACTCCTTAAGAGATGAAATGGGGGTTGATCGAATAGGGTTTGTTATCCAGCCAAAAGCATCTCAAGCTCAAAGGACGGCTATTTTGATTCCTTAGTTAAAACTTACGCCGCAAAATTTGGATTAAACTCATACTTCAAGACATGCAAATCGACACGTTGCTTGGAGGTTTTTTGTTAAATAATTTTGCGAGTAAAGTTGAAAATTTGACCAACCTTTTTTTTCCACCCTCAGGAGATAGGATTGCGATTTTTTTCATTCTAGATTATGGTTTTAGTATTTTAAATTCTGTCAAGAATATTAATCATAACTGCTGAAAGTGCAGAACGTATTTAACTTGATAACTCAACAAAATAGGATTCGCACAAAATAGTTCCTTTCTCTTTGTAAAATTAAAACTGTTGTTATTGAAGTTATGAGGAATTGTGAATTTTTAAAATAGTAATGAAAATTTTGTTCTTATATCGTCTTAAATAATTTCTAATGAAACCAAATAAGCTCATTTTTTCCTTCTCCAACTTTGCTGTTTCTTCGGACATTTAAAATGCCCTGCTCCTTAATCAGGCCGCTTGGAGTTTGCCGCAAAACACTATCAATCTTTCACAACAAAGGTGTTCGTTCCAAGCTCGATCGACCGGCAGAATGGACGCGGCTGGCTCGCTCCCTCTGGTATTTAACCCACGTGTGCCGTGCAATTTCAAACATCTACTGCCCATTCCATGGAAGCGTCAGGTAAGTAGGTGCGGCTTCCGTTACGATCTTTTATTCATCCAGTGACGGCTGCTGGAGGAGCTTGTGATGCACAGCCGTGTTTTTCTGCTGCGGAAAGGCATCTGCATCAAATGGGGCGCACCGCATTAACGGCGGTTGAATCAACGTGCGGCTCTCCTGACGATTAGTGCGCCATTCACTGCAAACCCGGCACATTTCAAAACGCGTTCTCATCTCTTGATTAGGCTGGAGGTATTACCGGGGGTATTGCCCCTCTTGAGAATTTCCATATTGCGGCAACCCATAAATTATTAAACGAAATTGATTTACGATGAATTAATTTGCTTTTCAATTGTTTTATGGATTTTATCGATTTTATTTCTTTTCAAATATAATACAAATGAAGAAACACCCAAAAATATCAATATTCTAGCTTCCCGTTCCCCCCCCCCCCCCAATTCCTTTTAATTAAAAAAAAATTTTTTTTGCAGTAATTCATAAAATTTGTTCTTCCGAATTTACAAAATATTTATAGATGATGTATTTTGGCAGATAATGTCCAGAGATAATGGAAATAAACATTATTGATTAATTGAAAGTAAACAATAACTTAAAAATGTTGACAAATATACAACAACAGTAATGATTTCTTTTGTCTTGTTAAATTGGTGGGACTTAATTACAAAATTTACAACAGTGCAGGAATTTAATTTAACACACAAAAATGTTTTTCGTGAAATCCACCACAATAGAAAACTCTCAATGAATAATTTTATTTACTTATTCTAATTTTCTTGCTTTTAATAATTCAATTGAAGGGAAAAGACAAAAGTGATAAACTTCCTTTTCTACAAGATTGTGTAAAAGAAAAGGAACAAAATAAACAAGTACAATCCAATCACAAACAGATGCACGATTCGTTGGGGCAACTCAATCAAGTCACAATGAGACGAGATTCCGCTCTGGCTTTTTTCCGATCAATTCAATTCCACTTCCGTCGTGTCCGCTTGGGAATTCGCAGCACGCCAAATCTTTATTCACGGCAGACTTTGACAGTGTCAGCCGGCGTGTGATACACCCCATTATTAGGTATTGGCGGAGAAAACTTTGTCCCTTTGTCGGCGGGCAAAACGATTTGCCTCCGCATGCAGAGCACGTATCAGCGTCGCTGAATGAAATGACTGACTGCCAGCGAGAGAATTCTCCTCCGCACTTCTCACACAAGGGAAGCTGCACCGGCCGCAAATATTTATGCAACCCGGACGGTGCACGCGTCGTGTGGGTTGCGGTCTTCTCGAGATGGCAGGCGTTCCGATCAACGGAAGGCACGCCGCTTTTAGTTCGCGTTCAAATGCACAGAAAGGCACGTTTGCTTATGCAGTAGGTCAACTAAATTTCAATATATAAGAAAAATACAAACGGCTTCTGCTGAATGATGGATGACTGATTGAACATGAAATAAAATAAAAAACTTTTGTGTGCAAATACTGATAAGACAATTGTATTGTATGAAGTATTTTAAATATTTCTTTTTATAAGGCGTTAATAGTGTTGAAGACTTTTGCCGATTTTAAATTTGTTTGAAATCTTGCCAAAATTTATTTTAATTCGTGCCATTAAATTCAAATTTTACAAACATACATGAGTGTAACCAATTGATGGAGCAACATTCGGAATTGAGATTCACACAATTAACATTTTAAAATCCGAACGCAACGTGTATATATTTGATTGTGAGCTTTTAATAACATTTCAAGGTCTTGTGTGTATATTTAAAAGTAAAATAATTCTAATATTATTTTAAATACAATCAATGCAATTAATAGACTTTAAAAATTTAAAACAATATATATTAAGTTTATATTAAAAAAATAGTATTTAAATATTTAGTGGCTAAACAAAATTTTTAATAAGCAAAGAATGAATAAGTGAATTAATATAGAACATTGTATTTTTTGTGATTTCTTTTCTTTTAATTTAGCAATGTTCGTTTTTTAAATGACATTTTCTTATCATTTATTATTATAAATAAGAGGATGACACAAACAATAAATACTTTAATTAAAATTGTGAAATATAAACGACATAAATTTATGTCCTTCAGGCAAAGAGAGGAAATCTCTACTAAACTGTAACATTACAAAGACTAATGAAATCATCACTAAACACAGCTGTCATTGTCCTGGTGACGCTTCGCCAAGTTCTGACATGCCATATAATTAAAATAATTTATCCCGCCTGAGGAACTTTCCGTTTTCATACAAACCCGAAACTAATTTGCGAGGGATTTCCACAGGCGGGAAACGAGTTGAAGGAATTTAATTTAAGTTTGTTTGTGCGGTCACTAGCGCCGGGTTCGGTCAGGCAAGAATTCGTTGGCAACTTCCTACAGCTCCCTCTTCATTGATCCACCTGCTTGCAGTTCAGTCATTTAATTAAGGACGAATTTCTTTTGTCAACTTCTTTGGCCAACTCAGCAGAAGGAAAAAAACGCTGCCAACTTTCGAGATAAATCACGCCCGACTCACGGTAATGGCGGCGAGCAGGGAAAACAACAGATTTGAGATGAGAGGGAAAAAATGAGCTTGTTCACTAAATCTCTTGTCTCCTAGCGCAAAAGTTTTTAATTAAATTGCGAACCAGGGCCAGCAGAAAATATTTTTTTACTTGCGATGGTCCTTAGAGGTAAATGAAATATTTACTAAATAAAATTGAAACAAAAAATTATAAATAAATAGTAGAAATGAGCAAAAATGTTAAATGAGAACTGTGATTAACAATTTAAAAAAACATGATCTTCATTAAAATTTAAGTGAAATAATTGGTACATGGCATGAAATGACTCATTATTTGTAAAGCTAAAATCAATGTCGTATCATATTAAAGGCATGATAAAAAATTACAATTGTAATTTATCGATTAAAAATACAATGAAAGTCATGTTCAAGGCTTTTTTTATAATTTTGTTGAAATTAAAAAAAAAATCATTTCTTAGATTGATAAAATTTAATTCATAAAAACTTTAGAGCTAAATTTTTAATACAAATTTTTAACGTTTTTATCAATTAGATTTTCAGCTGCGTGATTTCCATGACGCAAGCAAGCACTGCGTACATTAGCAGAGCTTAATCACCCTTGAAGTGCCTCTAATTAAACAATAGTTTGTAGCTGACGCTGATATTATGCCGAAAGCTGGTGGAGCGGCGTTGCTTCCATTGTTGGCAAAGGTGTAGCTGGCAGGCTTCGAACGAGAAGGTAGGTAGGTGTTGGCGAATCAATAGGCGGCGGCGGCGGCGTTTGCCATGCAGTTCGGCGGCTCCTCTGTTATTGTAGAGAAGAGGGAGCATATTCCTCTCGCGCTCACCGCACAAGGATTATTTCACGCTCCATTAAAATGAGACAAACAAACAATACGCGGCTTAATTTTCTTCGCCGCCAAAGGGACGCCTTTATGTTCCACCCCTCCAGCTAAAACTTTTCAGATAGAGTTGCTAAAGTCTCAACCCTTTTTTCCGCAGTTGTTGCGAGCCACTTTTTTGCCGGCCGCTTTTTCCATTCACGCTGGCTGTGGTGCGGAAAATGTATAAATCTAAAAATATCTCCACGTCTCTCAATAAGCGGCTTTTGCGACGCATTTCTCGAAATAATATTCAGACTGCTCGCTTATTTTGTGTCGTTGAAAATGGAAGCAAAATAACTACATTTTTCATAGAGTGCGGTTTAAAAAACGTCAACGCACCACGCCCTTTTGAACAAGCTACCCATGATCATATTGTTGATTTCATATTAATTTAAAAAATAACTGTCTTGGAAGGGTGAATCTGAATGAAAGGAACCTTTGACATACAATTTAATGATTTGTCAGAAGTTAACCAATGCTCACTGCGGGGGAAAGAAATTTTTTAATCCTTTGGCAATTTGGATCGTTTCATTATATATATCATGCTTTCAACGATGACCTGTATTAATGTAATTTATAATTCAATTAGGTTCGAGGAGGTGACCAAAATATAAATTTGATACACAATGTTG